ACCGGGCGGGCGCCGGGACCCCCTGCACCCACTCCTGGCCCGAGTCAGGTGCTGAAACCTGTCCTGGGACCCGCGGCCAGGGATGGCAGGAGCCCCCGCAGCGGGAATGAACGAAGGAAAAGTCCCGGAGCAGCAGAAGAGCAGCACGAGCAGCTCCCAGATTAGAGAGTTCTGCAAGTCCCAGAGACTTTGCAATCCTGACGGGCTGCCCTGAATAGGAGGGATATAAGCTCCAAAATCTATCTTTGCACTGGTGCTGCTTAAAATGTTGAGATTTTTGTGCCCCCCACCCTACATAAATTGAACAAAACTCCCTCTCCCCATCTTTTCTTTTCTAACTTGTCCCTCAGTGTCAGTAGAACTGGCCGAGGGGGAAGACTCCACTCTGGATTTTCATGTACCAGAGTTTCCCCATAGATTTTGTTCCCTCAGGGAAACACCAACATGTTCTGCCAGAAAAAAACCTTGAGTTTCCCAAATTTCCCAAAATGCAACCCATCAGTAGCTGCTTTCCAAGGCAAGAGACTGCCAATGAAACACCCTCCACAAAGGACACGTTTCAAAGCAGTTTGTAACCAACGTCCCCGGGTAACGGCAGGAATCTGCCTCCCGCGGAGGAGCCCAGGTGCAGCTGTCACCGCCACCAGCTTCTTATCTCTATTGCAGCAATTCCCGACACGGAGATTGCGGCCCCGGCGCCGGGCGCACGTGGCGCCGTTCCAGTCCGGAGCGCCGAGATGCCGAGGGTGGGCGGCCGAAGGGGAAGCGGTTTGCAGGGCCCGAGCGGCTCGATGCAGCTGAACGGGGCAAAAGCTTCTCAGTGGCTGCTCTGCGAGCAGAAAAACAAAATCTCGCATTTCTGTGAGCTGCCTGGCTGCTTCCATAGCACTTTTTATCTGGAGATTTTAACGTGCCAGCCAAGCCCTTGCAGGCTGGAGCCGTGTGCCTGCACCTCCAGCAGCAGGATGGACATCCCTTTCTCCCACCCTCAAAGCCAAACATTTTTAATTCACCCCTTTTTGCTCGCCAAGGCTTCTTCCCTGACCTTTGTTGCTGCTGTTTTGCACCGAGTGTTGATTCATCGTTGGCCTCTGCAGTAACTATAATTAGGAGAAAATGTGTTTTCAGAGCTTCTTCCTCTGCTGCAAGCCCCTTCTGTCCATCTTTCTGGGTCGGTGTGGGCAGCTGGCGATCCCATGGGATGCCCAGGTGATCTGAGTGGATTTTCCCGACTACCTGCGGAGCAAGCAGCAGCCCCTAGCCTCCTTTTTGTTGCCCACTTGCTTTGGGCATAAATTTCTACTGAGACATCAAAAATACATTGGAAGAATATGGATGTACTGACATGTTATTGCTGCAAATCTTCCTTTTGGTGCGAGACCAGGATGGTTCCCAAGAGCATCATTGGCAGCTGGAGCCCTTGCCCACTTTTCCTTCCCCTTGCACGCGGTGGAGGAAGCTTCAGCCTCCAAGGCACCAGCCAAAACGCTTCCCCTTAATCCTGCCAGGAATTGGCGCCAGCTCCTTATCGGCTTCGTCAGGAAATAGCGATAAATTAATTTGCCGTGGGCAGAGCGGCCTGGAGTGTTTGTCTCTGCATTGTTCCTCTGCGCCCCGTCTGACACGCTAATAAATGGGCTTGTGCTGGGCCGGGTTAACCCGCATTTGTCATAATTGCGGCGCAGCGCGATAAGAGCTCGTTTCAATGCGAGAAAGGGCGACCCGGGTTGTTTCCCGGGCAGACGGCAGCTCTGTTTAGCGGCATGGAAAGCACGGAGGTTAATGCCCTGGTACAGCGAATGCCGCCGTCGGCTGCGGAGCAAAGCGGCTTGTCCGGGACTTTGTGCTCTGGCCAGGAATACCATGGGGTAAGAGCAGTATAAACAGCATGTGCCAAACCTGGACCCAATTTTATTAGTATAGTATTATTGATATCGTCTTAAATATATCAGGCCAGGCTGGGTTATGTCAATCTCTCTGGGGCTATTGGGCCACACGGTGTCTTGCCTCTCCCTGAAGTGTCACCCCTTGTCCCCTTGGCAGGCCCGAGTGCCGCGTGTGGACGGCGATGCTGCTGCTGGGGACGTGCCTGCTGTACTGCGCCCGCGTGGCCGTGCCCATCTGCGCCGTGGCGCTGAGCAGCCGCTTCGGCTGGGACAAGAAGCAGTCGGGCATCGTGCTGAGCAGCTTCTTCTGGGGCTACTGCCTGACGCAGGTCATCGGGGGACACATCAGTGACCGGTATGCAGAGTTGTTTTCATGCTTTCCTCCGCTCGGGCTTTTTCTGTGATGCTTTCCGCAGCTGTGGCCATGCAATTCGGGTCTGGCAGGGGGCAAAGGGATTGCACCAAACGTGGTCCCACTTTTCCCACCAGCACCTCCAGCTCTGCTTCACACGAAGCTTTGACTCTCCAACTGCATTCCTGGGTCTTAAAACTGGCTCTATACTTAGAGCTAGGTATGCACTGAAGGACTTTGCGGAGGCAAAATCTCCAGCAAATGCAGGGACTGTCTAGACAATAATCACTGCTTTAACAATTCCTGCATAACTGCAGCAAAGCTTATATTAATGGACACTTAGGCCAATGTGGAGGGTTTTTTTTTTTTTTTTCCTACCTGGAAACAGTGGAAAGTGCTTTCTTTTAGGCCAGTGTAATGTTTCTAATGGAGGTAGTTTTTAGTACCCGTTCAGTTATTGCAACAGTAAAAAAAAAATAATAATAATAAAAAAAAAGCCCACATCCTAAAATGTTAAGCTGATAAAAAGAAAAAAACATAGCGGCTGTAAAGCAGGCCTTATTTTGGAAAATTGATAAATGGTAATGCTCTTGCATAGCTCACAGCTATGCATAGCTCATGGGGAGAGTCATTCGTCCATTAAAAAGCAGTTAAATATCCATGGGGTTGCATGGACGCTTGGAAGGGTTTATAGCTGAAATTGCTAGCCAGAGGAAGAAAACAGTCCCTTTTTGCAAGGAATTCAACTTTTTTTTTTTTTTTTTCCTGCTTGATCTGCACGGTCTGAGTTCTTCATTCTCATTTCAGTGCTGCTGAGTTTTCCACCGTGTTTTTCTGGGCAATCTTTTCACAGGCAAGACCCCATCCCTGTGTCCAGGCATATCTGGGAAAAGCACATGTCTCCGTTTGATGGTATCAATTAAAAACAGCAACCACCCCAGCTGGCTTTAG